AAATAGATGAGCAATTAGCCAGAACAGCAGGAAATTTCAAGCCAAATGTTCTCGCTCAACTGGAAACAAAAATTTCGGCGGAAGGAAAAATTGCCTGCCACCGAGAAAAGTTTATAAATAAAGAGGGAGATGAATTAGTTAAAACTATTAATTCAGTTCTTGTTTTTGATTACCTAGAAAATTTAGTGGAAAAATTTAATAGGGATGTTTCTTTGAATTCAATTTTCCGTAACGAACAAGTAAATAAATTTTATTGGCGAGTATTAAAGGAAAACCAAGAAACTTATGGAGATAATTTAACGACGGAAGAACAAAGATTACTTAATGAATTTCGGGAAAAACTAGAAAATAATGTTTATGAAAGTGAAGAAAATTTTGACCCTTCTTTGTTCAGTGAAACAAGTGAAACAAATGAGGATTTAATTATTGCCCGGAACAACGCCGTAGCAGCGGTAAAAAACCACTGAGACAACCACCATTATGTACATATTGTAGAAAGAACTCTCAACGGCCAAAGTATAAAAGAAGTTTTGGATGAAAATTGGGAAATTAAGCTACGCAACCAAAATTCCGAGGCGGAAATCACCGCCGAACGCGAGCACTTAACTGGCTTAATTGATAAAGAAGGCCGCATAATAAATTATAATAATTTATTAGGCGATATTAATACGGCAAGGAACGAGGAAGCAGTAAATTTGCTGGATGAGCGGATTGATGGATTAGACTATACAAACTTGGGAACTAGAACCAAAAATGAGTTAAAAATTGCCCAAACGGCACGAAAGCAGGTTATTACGGAGTATACTGGTGCGGTTAACGAAATTAATGCTCGGTGAACGGCTTTGGCTCCAACTGACGCCATTAACGGACAAAATAAAAATACTCTCTTGGGAGCCGCTTGGGAAACTACCTTGTGGGCTCTTCTTACCGTCAACGAAATTAATAGGGAAAAAAATAGTTTAATTAGGAAAATTGAAGATGCTCGCAATGGTGGACTTTCCGCAGAGTGACAAGGCTTCTTTAACGGGTTTAACTTAGCTCATCTAAACAAACAAGTTACGGATTTAGGGGAAAAACAAGCATGGATTAATTTTTTTACGGGACAAACATCAGCAATTATTAATAATGAACAACGAACTAGATGGATAGAAAGCGGATTAACTCCGACCGAAGCCCAACAAGCTTACAATAAGGGTTGGCAGAACGCAA